ATAAGTACACCTGATGAATAGGCAGATCTCTCTCAAGATAGCCACAGTCCTCTTCTGGCTCTGATGGCCATCCCACCCGACACGTACCTGGGTGAGCATGATAGAGGACTTCCTTTATAGTATGTCCTGGTGTTAATTTATCAATCTAGACTTCTGAGACCCCTGCACATTCTGGATGCGTTCTTCTTCAGGGAGTTGGTTGTGTTCCCTCCTCTGTCCAGCAAACTGTTCTTGTACATCCCCCCAGAGCAATGCACCATCTACTTGGAGGAGTAACAACTGATTTACAGGTCTACACGAAACCCCATTAAGTCTAGAGTCTCAAGAAGGACCATATGTTCTTGTGTCCCAGGCCTGTGCCACTGCCCCAGTAAAGTGCCTGGCATATGCTGCGACATGCTGGGTAAGTGCTGCTGGCTGCCAATGTGACCATCACATTGAAATCAACTTAGATCTCCTACAACCAGGCCATTCTGTTTTAAGACAACACCAGCGATCCCAAAGAGACTCTGAACCTGGTCAACAAACTCAAGTGACTCAGAGCCACACTCAACCATTTTCAAACAAATTTTTTTAAAATGTGCAATCTAATGAATAGAAGATACCATTTTTGGTTCAAAGTACTCATATGCACCATTAGAACTCTCTGTAAATGAAGAGAGAAACAATGAATTCATGGAAAAAGCACTGAATTTCTAAAAAAAAAATTCTCCTCCTGGGTCAGACCTTCCATTAACTAATTCTTTGATCTCTGGGAAATCGCTCCATCTCCCTGGGCCTCATCCTTAACATGAAAGGACCAGACTTCTTCGGCCCCCCTAGTTAATATAGGAACACACTAGAAATCAGTCATTGATATGCAATAAATCACAGAGGGCAATGTGCCAGGAATTGTCTGAGCACCTTACACATTGGCCCACTTGATCTTCACGACAACCCTATGAGCCCTCACAGATGGGGAAACTAAAGCACAGACTGGTGAAGTGACTTGCCTAATAATGCATAGCCAAGTGGCAGGGTCAGGATTTAAACCCAGGCATTCCGGATCCTGTCCCGAACCTGTCCCCTCACGACGCGGTACTGTTCCTCATGTTTGTGAAGCTATCCCATGTTTTAGAGCCCAATTTCTCTGAACTTCATTTATCACAACAGGATGAATCTGCTCCTCTGACTGAATGCTCTTCCCACCAGCTTCACCCAGTGAAATCCTGTTCAGCTTTCAGATCTCAAGCTAATGTGGTTTCCTTAGGGACCTCTCTCCTGAGCCATGCTCACCAGGTCAGATTCCTAGCCACAAGTTTTAACAGTACTATTTATCTTTCCTTCAGGGCACTTGTCACAATCTCTAATTATCTATTTATTTGTGTGCCTGTTTGATTAAAGTCTTGCTCTCCACCCTCACCTCCCAAGATGATAAGCTCCACGAAGCCAAGAGCTGAGCCTATGTGCCTCTGCATGTCCAGGGCTAGCACTGAGGGAGGCCCAGGGCGGGGGGCGGATCTGGGAACCACTCGTCAAAAGAGAGAGCAACACCTAACAGGGCCAAGGACACTTTAGTCAAGTTTTGATTACCTTTAGTTGGCAAATGTTCAGAAAGTCCTATCGTGTGTGTGTGTGTGTGTGTGTGTGTGTGTGTGTGTGTGCCGAATATATATGTCCTGAACATATGTATCTGAATAATGAAACTCAGAATTTTACATATACAAACACAGAATATCTATATAAACTAATCTCGGTCTTTAGAAATCCAACCAAAGCATCAGATGCTCCTTCAGCACCTTCATAATAAGACTCCATTTAAATTCTCAGCTTCTATAACTGCTTCTTCTCCAGATCCTGACATCTCCCCAGCAGATGTTCTTGAGATAATTCTGCACAGTAAGGCAGCTCATACGTTGGCCAAACATTTGCACCCGAGCTCATGGCGCTTTCACAATAGAACTCCTGGCAAATGTCTTCTATCACCCCCGGGAGTTGTAACTATAAGGATCCCCTTTCCCATCATTAACAGTGCAGAGGAATTGTTTCCCTTGGCACAATGATGACAGCAAAACATCTTCAAAAGAGACTCATGACAATGAGACTACCACACAGGATGTGAAAATGACCCCCAAATATTAGGATATCACAAGACAAAATAGGGAGAGGTGTTGTCTCTGAGGGCAGGTGTTTGCCCACCCCACCCCACCCCCACCCAGAGGGACAACCAACCACTGAGCAAACAGACAACTGCACAGGCTTCCCTTACATAGCCCGCCTCCCACTCCCACCCCCGCTCCATGCTAAGTCCCCTCAGTTTACCCTTGGCTGCACACCTCCAGGCTCTCATTGTTTTTAGGTATATGAATCCAACCACCCTAAGGCACGAACTTCTGGTCCTTCCAAGACCACTTATCCTACATTGGGCAGGGAGGTTACATGGCTCCTTGTAAGGGAATCTCAATGACATTGGTCAACCCTCTAACCTGAAGGGGACTTTGGAAGTCATTACTGGGGCTCCCTCCTCAGGGTTACACCTAAACCACCCTACAGTAGGCCTTCATGAGATCAAGAGCATGACGATAAAGACACTAGCCTAGCTCTCTTGAGAGGTTTAAGTTCCTGACTTCTTAAGGTTAAATATTGACCTGTCTAGGGGCGTCTGGGTGTCACAGTCAGTTGAGCCTCTGACTCTTGGTTTCAGATCAGGTCATGATCTCAGGGTCGTGAGATCAAGCCCCACGTCCAGCTCCACGCTCAGCATGGAGTCTGCTTGAGACTCTCTCTCCCTCTGCCCCTCCCGCTAGTGCACATACGATCTAATAAATAAATAAATCTTCAAAAAAAAAAATATTGGCCTATCTAGGACTGGGAGAAAGGAACCGGTGAGGGACAAGTGCTGCCATGAGTTGAAGGACAACTAGTCAGAAGGACAACTAGTCAGGAGGACTAGTCAGTCACTGCTCTACCTAAAAACACAGGCAACTTATAAGCTAAAGTCCACCACCATCATCATCTACTCTTTCATTAAGAGCAAACCTCTTACGCCTTTATTCTCTGAGGATCTTAAGAGAAGTGACTCTACACTACAGAAACGAAAACCTCACCCACCAGCCTACCTTATGCCAGTCCCTTCCTGCAGAGGTTGAGAGCCCTGCAAATGTGGCCATCAAATTAAAACCTTCAGAACCAGCTTCTAAAAAGTTTGAATCACTTCTTAAGAAATGCAAAGCAACAGCTTACCTGTGATGAGATGCACCCAGGGGAAGCAGCGCGCTAGTTCTGCTACGAGTGCAGTACCCAAGTCCGACTCCAGAGACTTCTGCGCACAGGTCAGGCTCAGAACAAACCAAATGCGTGCACTGAGGTGGCTACAGAGATGCAAACAGGAACCTCTAAATCAAGGTTCTCGTTTCTGTCATCTGGCCCATGACCCAATTTTTATTTATACTTTTGTTCTAAAAAGAGGTAATAAATTCAACTTACTGAGGAGAGCCTCAGATTCCAGACCAGGGCTTGTGCTGTCTCCCCTTCTAGATTACAAGCTCTCTGAGGGCGGGGTCTCAAATGGCATCAGGCAAACATTCCCCAAGAAAGAAATCAGCTGCATGCAAACAAAATACAATAAATTTAAGATGAACACAAAACGTTTTGCTCTGTTTAAAATACAGCAACCTTGGGCGCCTGGGTGGCTCAGTTGGTTAAGCCACTGCCTTCGGCTCAGGTCATGATCCTGGAGTCCCGGGATCGAGTCCCGCATCGGGCTCCCTGCTCAGCAGGGAGTCTGCTTCTCCCTCTGACCCTCTCCCCTCTCATGTGCTCTCTCTCTCTCTCTCATTCTTTCTCTCAAATAAATAAATAAATAAAATCTTTAAAATACAGCAACCTCAAAATAATAAAATAAAATAAAATAAAATAAAATAAAATAAATAAAATAAGCAAACTCTCGCTTTTTTCTCTCAACACAGAGGTGCAATATAGCCAGGCAATCACTCAATCCCTGCCTCCAAAGATAGGCCCGCTCAGTCCTCCAACTTACCAGGTTGATTTCCTCTACCCATGTGATGTCAGCATTTACAGAACACAAGTAGCTGTTATTCCCCTGGTGAACCCCTTGGGCTATTTGGACATCGTAGATAAGAACTCAAAGCTTCTTCACGTCAAGATATCTTTTGCTTTTAAGCTGCCACTTCAACATCTTTTTTTTTTTTAAGATTTTTATTTATTTATTGAGAGAGAGAATGGTAGAGAGAGAGCATGAGATGGAGGAAGGTCAGAGGGAGAAGCAGACTCCCCGCTGAGCAGGGAGCCCGATGCGGGACTCGATCCCGGGACCCCAGGATCACGACCTGAGCCGAAGGCAGTCGCTTAACCAACTGAGCCACCCAGGCACCCTAAGCTGCCACTTTAAAATAAGTGTTCTTAGTATACACTCCTCAACCTTGGCTTGACCTACACATAGCCATTTGGTTTTTTTGGAACATGTCCTGTATCATTCACAAAGTTGTCAAAGGGGCGCCTGGGTGGCTCAGTCGGTTAAGTGTCTGCCTTCGGCTCAGGTCATGATCCCGGGCTCCTGGGATCGAGCCCCTCGTTGGGCTCCTTGCTCAGCGGAGAGCCTGCTTCTCCCTCTGCCACTCCCCCCAGCCCACCCCGCTCCTGTTCTCTCTCTGTCTCTCAAATAAATAAAATCTTGAAAAAATAATAAAAAGAAAAGTTGTTGAATATTTGCTCTCTCAAGGACTATGCTACATGATTGCATGGTAAGGCAGCAACGTACATAAATACTCCCACCATGGCCTGTTTCAAGCTACCAATCATTTAACAATGGGCTTGCAAAATTCCTAAAAATTTAACCATCAGCTCTTGCTATGTGAGCTGGCTCCAGCAGACCACTGAATCTATGCAGGTTCTTGCAGGGGTACACCTTAGAGATGAATGGCTGCTTGCTGCTGGAAACCACAACCTCCTCCCCTTACATCTGACAGCTCTCATTTTATATGTAGACACACACCAAAAAGTAACCAGAAAGTGCAAAGCAGTTTATTAAGTGTGATGTGGTAAAGACCCCAAGAGTCACAATATCTGTGCACATGGCCCAACAGTGCACACGCTCCTACAAAAAAACAAACACAAAAAATGCAGTGAAATGCAGCTGCTAACAGTTCAACAGTCCAACACAGGGGTCAAAGGAATGGAGCTGCCTCTTCTGGCAGCAAAGTCTCCAGTAGTCCAATTACATGATAGTCTTGGTCCTATCCATAAGAAAACCTATGGGTTTTCTTATGCCTCTCATTTGGAACCATAACAGAGTGACACAATAGAACATTCAGATTCGGGATTTGGCCTCCAACAATTTTTTTACACAGGGACATACAATGTTCCCTCTTGAAGCACCAGTGCGCAGTTTGGGAGCTGCAGAGAACTAAGACATTCTCCAAGAAGCCTGGGGTAACAGGCCACATGGGAAACACAAAGCATTTTATAAATTCACATTTGGTAACAGAATTAAGAGCTCAATACGCAAAACTTACAAGGTAATGTAGCCACAGGTAAAGCCTTCAGCAGCCAAAGAAAAATTCTGAAAGGCTTTTCACCCTGTCTGAAGCTTTCAGAATTAAATTTCCTTTCTAGACAAGGCTGGTCTTCAGACAGTGTGCTCTGCATCCAGAGCAGCAAGAGGAAAAAGAGAGAGAATAGCACCTGAGAAGATATTAAAAGAGTAAGTTAAAAAAAAGAAAACCAACTTTATCTTCTTTCCATCCTTAAAGAAGGCAGGTATCCAAATACTGCTTTTTGCTCCTTTGGGGGAGAGAGAAAGAAAGGAAAAGAAAAAGAAAAAGAAAAAAAGCCGTAAGGCTGTAAGCCAGACTCAGGGTGAGAGACGAACAAGGACACTGAGAGCAGCCTTAGGACTGACGTGACCTTTTAAAGCCACGGAGCCCACGAACTAAGCAGCTTACTCTCTCACCGTGAAGGATGCTACTGTTCAGTCACTTAAGAAGAAAGGGCCTTGTTCAAATCATGATCAAGGCTACAAAATAACAACAACCAAGTATCCACACAGCACCATCTACCTAAAGGGACAAACATACTAGCCTGGATTAATCCTCACAACATGCCTGAAAGGAAATTACAAGAAAACCGAGATAAAACCAGTTCCTCGATCCAGGAAATGTGGTTTTAGCTGGGTTCCTGTAGCATCATCTCTTTCTCAGAGACATAAGGACCCACAAGTCTGCCTCACAATTAGATCTCTATCTTCAAATCTCCTAGAGCCCAGAGTATTAACTCTCATTGCTCAAACATGTTTTCCCCTCCCAGCTGAGGTGTCAGACTGTCTCACTAGCCTGGCCCCAGATGAGCCAAAGTAGCTCAAGACTCTGAGGCTTAACCACTAGAAATAAACTGACAATGTGCCTTTTCCTCTTCCACTTCCTTACGTGACCGGACAAAAAGCATAATTTCTAATTAACTAACCAGACTCTCTTATGTATGGACTAGATTGACAAAAGGGCCAGGCCAAACCTATGTCATATTTTTTCAAGTTTTTACTGATGACTTCCAGCACTAATAACCCAAATTTTTAAAAATAAATCCTGGGGTGTGCTGGCTTCGGCAGCACATATACTCAAATAAATCCTGGGGAAGTGATTTTTTTTTTGTATAATGTGTACGGTGTATTTGCTGTAATATGGAAGCCTCCTGAGTCACCTAGTGAAGAATCATGGACTCTCCCGTTGAAAAAAACAGCAATGGGAGGAGGGGAAAATTTTTGTCTCTCATAATTGAGAAGTAAACTCTGCTGCTGTTTTACAGAGGACTACACTGTGATCTTCTGGACATGTCTTGCATATTTCTTAATGGCTTATAGAAAATCCCATGTAAATTAAAATTGGAAATCGTTTGCTGCGGGAAAATGGAGGAAGTCGATATAAGGTATCAGAGAACAGAAACGAGAAGTAAAGGTTATGTACCATCTCACTTCCTTATGTCAAATATTATGCAAAAACTGTTTGTAAATACCTTAGCTCACTCATATTTGGCACATTTTAGAACACAAAAAAGTTCTGAAGAATGACTCAGGTCAAAAAGATTATTTCCTATAAATAAAAGCCTCATTAAAGCCAATCCAACATTTGAACTCCGGAATGGCATTTGTTAAAAAAGAATATTGCAAATAACTGAGAAAATATTCTCTACATTCCCCACTAAAAACCTTACAAAGAGTTATCTTGCCTCTGATCTGGGACATCAAGAAGGAAACCACTCATTAGTCAGCCATAAGAGAGTAAGGTAACAAACTGCACCTAGCAAGACAAAAGAAAGCGATCCCTTTAGGTCGCCATTCCCTTCCTTAATCATAAATTGATGACATTTTAATACTTTAAAAACTCAGTCAAAGCAAACTATGGACTCCTGGTCCTGCCAACTCTATGGAAGTTAGGGTTCCAAGTCACCCAAACACAAGTGATGGTGTCATGAAACCAAGGAGTATATGCTCTTTGCTGATTCACAGCTGAAAACATTCATGGAGCAAATAACAAAGGACACTTATCCCCAACAAACATTTCGTCTTGTAGCACATCAGGAAGCTACGAGCTCCATTTCATTTTTTAAAGATATTTTGGCATCCATGGTGTGGCCAACATTTAGGATTCCCCTCAAGTAACTGGAAGAAAACATGTAATACATTCAAGAACACAGGGGAAACAAAAAGTATCTTTCAATTCAGGAAGAGAACTCCTTCATTCAAGTAGAGCATAAGTTATTAAAAGGGGTAGCTATGAGTTTCTTCTGAGATCTCTTAAACAGTTTATAAATATAAAAAGAACATTTCTTCAATAAATAAATGGTTCCTGAAGTCTCTCCTGATGACTTCCAGAATCCTCCAGCACTGCCATCCAAGCCAGCTCCGCTTCTGAGAGGCTTTAGCTGCCAGGGGAACGGGACTTGTTCTGCTAGCAGGTGACTCTTCTTATATCATGAAGACTTTCATCAATATGCCTCTTCATAGTCTGAGTCCTGGTGGGAAAGAACAGCAGTTGTGGTGTAGATACATGGCCACTGTCAGAGTTTAGACAAAGAGGTTGTGCAAGGACCCCTCAACGGAACTCAGCACGAGGTGACATTAACAATGAAATAGCACTGACTCAGCGCATCTAGGTTCCCATGAAGCCTCCAAGGCCCTCGATATATTTGCTGTCCTTTGGACTAATTTCTGCTTTGAAACCCTAATGGTTCCCTTTTCCGTGGTGGATATTTTTTAAAACCTCAGCACACATGAAAAGATGCCTGTCTGCAGAAGAGCATGAGGACTGTAGCTGGGAGTCTGGGTTTCTCGATTTCTCTGAGTTCCAATGCCAGCTTCACCCCTTGCTGGCTGTGTGACCTTGAGCAAAGTTATTAAATGACTCTAGGCCTCAGTTTCCTTATCTGTAAAATGGGGGGTAGGGGTAGTAAAAATATGGACACGTCATAGAAAGGCGACAAGAACTGAATGAGACCATGTATGGAAGTCACTTCGCATTGTGCTTAGCACTGTGCAAGCACTCATTCAAGATTAGCTACTGTTGGGTGCCTGGGTGGCTCAGCCGGTTAAGCAGCTGCCTTCGGCTCAGGTCGTGGTCCCAGGGTCCTGGGATCGAGTCCCGCATTAGGCTCCCTGCTCGGCAGGGAGCCTGCTTCTCCCTCTCCCTCTGCCTACTTGTTCTCTCTCTCTCTGTGTCAAAAAAATAAAATCTTAAAAAAAAAAAAAGATTAGCGACTGTTACCATTATTCTTACTTTTATTATTTAAACTTGTATTCATTACTTCTAACCTCAAGTGGCCCATTAGTACTACCTGGCACAACACATTTCTCTGGCCCATCGTTCTCCTATTCTCCTGGATGACTACCTTTCCCTCTTTCCTCAAACCTCCAGCACGTCCTCCTCACTTTGTTCTCAGCGGACGACCTTGCTTTCTCCCGACATTGGGAAAAGAGTCATCAGCAGGGAACTTCCGGGAGCTCCCGTCACCATATTTACACACTCACCTGCATCTGGGCCCATCTGCGTGGCCTTCTTTACACTTCTTATGGATTCTCTCTCTCCCTGCCTTTCTCTAAGGTCAGCATCCCCATTGTGCATCACATTCTAGAGCTACTCCAGCCACACACACACCCCCGCAGCATCATTTTTTCCTTTCCTACTGAATCATTTCCATCAGCATACAAATGTGCTATAATTTCTCCCACCTTAAACAGAAAGTAACTCTTGACACACATCTCCCTCCTACCCTATCACCCGATTTTTCTGCATCTCTTCACAGCAAAACTCCTTGCGAGAGCTGTTTACACCCACTGTCACCATCGCTTCTCTGCGTTCTTTCTCAACCTTACCCGCATCAGGCTTTCTTCCCCTCTATTCTCCTGAAGCTGCTTTCGCCAAGGTCACCAATGACCTCCACATCACCAGATCAGCCAATAATCAAGTCTCAGTTCTCATTTTACTTGACCTGACTCAGCAGCAACCGACACAGTTAATCACCTTCTTTACCTTGAAACACATTCTTCACTCGGTTCCCAGGATAACAAATCCTCCCGGTTTCCTGCTACCTCACTGGATGTTCCTTCTCAGCCTCCTTTACCAATTCCCCTTCCTCTTCCCAACTGATCAACCTTGGAGAACTCCAGGGCTCTAGTCTACATCTACTCTACCTATTCTATCAGTTGCTCAAGTCAAGAACCATGGAATTATCCCTGATTCCTCTCATTCTTTCACAGATACGGGAAACCCATCCATAAATCCCTCTGGCTTTACCTTCAAACTATAATCAGAATACAACAACTTCCTACCACCCTGGTTCAAACCAGTACCATCCCCTCTCACCTGCATTATTGCTAAGGTCTCCTTATTGGGCTCTATGACTGTCATGGCCCCTTGACCACGGTACCACCTATTCTCAACACAGAAGCCAGAGTGAGCCTTTGGAAATACATAGTGCTTCTCTTCTCAGAAACCTCCAGTGCATCCCATTTCATTAAGAATAAAAGCCCAAAGGGGCGCCTGGGTGGCTCAGTTGGTTGGGCGACTGCCTTCGGCTCAGGTCATGATCCTGGAGTCCGGGGATCGAGTCCCATATCGGGCTCCCTGCTCAGCGGGGAGTCTGCTTCTCCCTCTGACCCTCTTCCCTCTTGTGCTCTCTGTCTCTCATTCTCTTTCTCTCTCTCTCAAATAAATAAATAAAATCTTAAAAAAAAAAAAAAGAATAAAAGCCCAGGGCGCCTGGGTGGCTCAGTCGTTAAGCGTCTGCCTTCGGTTCAGGTCATGGTCCCAGGGTCCTGGGATTGAGCCCCGCATCGGGCTCCCTGCTCGGCAGGAAGCCTGCTTCTCCCCCTCCCTCTCCCCCTGCTTGCGTTCCCTCTCTCGCTGTGTCTCTCTCTGTGTCAAATAAATAAATAAAATCTTTAAAAAGAATAAAAGCCCAGTTCATTCCATTCACTTATTATGTTCATAAGATATGGCATTGTCTCTCTGATGTCCACAAATGCTATTCTTCACCTTGCTCACTTCATTCCTGCCACAATGGTCTCCTTGCTGTCCCAAGAACATGCCAAACATGGCCCCTCCACAGAGTTGCTGCACCTACCATCTCCTCTGTCCAGAACATTCCTCCACAACAGCTATATGGCTTCCTACCTACTTCTTTTAGGTGTTTGCTCAAATATCATTTCAGCGAGGTATTTAATATCATACCCCCTATCCAGCCATCCCATTTTCTTTCCCTATTTTGTTTTTCTTTACTGCATTAAGTACCATCTGGTATACTCCATGTTTTGCTTATTTTCAAAAGATTTAGTTAGTTATTGTTTAATAACCAATAATAACTATTTTAAGAGAAAGTGACATTTCAGTTGCGTCTTGAAGAATGAGAGTTTTCTACATACGGAAAAGAATGGAAGTTATCGGAGGGCAGAGATTTTTGTCACAAGTTCACTTGTGTTTCCTAAGTACCCAGAATCCATCTGGCACGTGTCAGACACTCAGTAAATAACTGCTGAATGAATTAATATCTGAAATGTGGATGATGATAGTCATGGACACTAACTTATTTTGTGTTATCGGAGTATTCAAACCCTGAAGGGTTATTGTTAGATCCTCTTCAACCTTCCCCTCAACTTAGCTATTACACTCCCGTTTGTGAGAGAGAGAAACAAAGAACACTGCAGTGAACAGCTGGGGCTACAGTCATCTGGCCAAGCGCTGAGCTTGGCAGTGAGTACAAAGAGAACTCAAGTTTAAACCCTGCAATGACAGGTATGTTTCATATTAGATCGTAAGTTGCTTTTGACCTGTTTCCAACTGTACCACATCAGAGAGTCTCTCCTCCTAGGATGCTGGGACAGCCACACAAGCCTACCAATCATAGCCAGAGTTTAAAAAACAGAGGGATGACAGCCTTTCGAAATTTAAATCAACACTCAGGCCTTCCAACGTGGGTATTTTTTTTTTCCTTCTTCCTTTTTTTTAAGTAGGCTCCACACCCAGTATGGAGCCCAATACATGACTTGAACTCACAACCCTGAGATCAAGACCTGAGCTGAGATCAAGAGTCGGACACTTCATCAGCTGAGCCACCCAGGCGCCCCTCCAACATGGGTATTTCTTACTGATAAAGCCACAAGTCACCTAGAAGGTTATATCACTCTAATTCCCTCGGGGGGGGGGGGGAACTGAGGCACAGCAGGAAAGTTCAATTCAGAATTCTGAGTCCAACCAGCCAAAGTCTCCTAGTATGACCTTGGTGGCACAGGCCCCTCCTCTTTCAGGATGCTCTCTGTCAGTAGGCAGAGACTTCCCTAACCTTCCCTAACCTAAGGACACCACTCTATGCCTATCAGACAGAAAACAAAATAATGGTTAGAATCAGTCCCCTGAGACCAAAATGCTTTGGGGGAAGACCTTGATTCATACCTTGCTTTGGGCCTTATCTGCATATCCTCTGCTGCCTCTGAGGGCAAAGGATCCCCTTAAGTACGCAGGAAAATGGAACATGAACAGTGAACAGAGAAATGGCATGAGCTTACCAGGCACTCCGCACAACGAACACAAAGCCTCGCCATGCAGTCCTGCCCCTCCTCTTGGTCCGTCCTGGAGAAAAAGGACAAAGCAAATCTGAACAATTACTGTCCTCAGCACAGCAGAGCACCTAGGAGCACAGCTGCTGAAGTCAGACAGGTCTCGTTTTTATTTTTTTTTTTAAAGATTTTATTTATTTATTTGAAAGAGAGAATGAGAGAGAGCGAGTACATCAGAGGGAAGAGGGTCAGAGGGAGAAGCAGGCTCCCTGCCGAGCAGGGAGCCCAATGTGGGACTCGATCCCGGGACTCCAGGATCACAGCCTGAGCCGAAGGCAGTCGCCCAACCAACTGAGCCACCCAGGCGCCCCAGGTCTCGTTTTTAAATCCCAGTTCGGCCACTTACTAGAAGGGTGAGCAGGCAGGTTACTTAAGCGCTGGGATAAAAAATAACCACATGTAAACCACGTACCACAGTGCCTGACACAAAGCAAGTGCCCAGTAAACAGGAGCTGGTCCCAATCATTCACTTAGAAATGTACTGAGCACCACACTGCCCCTCGAAGAGCTCACAGCCTCATGGGTGTGAGAAACCTGTTGCAACCTAACAAGTACATTATGACACAATGTAATAAAGTATTTTAATAAGCTTAAGGTCAAACTGCTAGGGCAGCAAAGAGGAGAGAATGACCTGTTCTCTGGGGAGGACTCAGGGAGACTCCAGAGATGGAACACTTCAGCTGGGTCTTGGAGGATCAGGAAGAGTTTTCCAGGCAAACAAGGGAGGGAAGGAGAGGATTCCAAGGGAGAGAAAAGCATGTGGGGGGAGAAAAAGGGAGGAAGACCTGAGTGAGTGTAGCTTATTTAGAGAAGAAAATAAGCTGTGTATCTGGCACGTGAAGTGAACAAGATGAAATGTCAGGGAACAACGGGCCTGAAGGTTGGAGCATAAGGAATCTTGTTAGATCATGCTTAGAAATAGACATCTTAGTATTTCTACCAAGAGCCCTTGATCTTTTGAGGGGGACAAAGATTCCTATAAAGGGCACTCTCTCTCCCATGAAGCAAATGTGCATGCACAAATACACATGTGCACACATGCACAGAGAAAGAAAATTTTAGACCCTTCCCAGGGAAGACTTCCCTCCCAAGAAGACAATGGAGAATCAAAATGGGTTTTACGCAGACTTTTGTCACCTGTTTTTAGTAGATTTGTTCCTAGGGAAAGTACTGGACCATGCCTGCTCACTGCCAACATGATGTTTCATAAATGCCTTTGACAATCACAATCCAATTAGGCCCTCAGAGCATGTGCTGACCAAGAACAGATCTTGGTTATTTAAATTGGTTTTGCTGTCCAAGACTGTTCTTAAAGCCTTCCTCATTGCTTAGGCATTTTCTGTTGGGACACATCAGCTTGGTGCCAAAACGAGAAGAGAAAAATAACTGACTTGTTGGAAATTCCTGTTAATTTTGGAAGAATGTGATAGCCACTCCAGAATTTTTATTTATTTACCTAGAGAGGGGGAGAAAGAGAGAGGGGAGGGGGAGAGGGAGACAGAGAATCTTAAGCAGACTTCACGTCCAGCATGGAGCCTGATACAGGGCTTGATCTCACAACCCTGAGATCATGACCTGAGCCAAAGTCAAGAGTCGGACACTAGGGCGCCTGGGTGGCTCAGTCGTTAAACATCTGCCTTCGGCTCAGGTCATGATCCCAGGGTCCTGGGATCGAGTCCCACGTCGGGCTCCCTCCTCAGCAGGAAGCCTGCTTCTCCCTCTCCCACTCCCCCTGCTTGTGTTCCTGCTCTCGCTGTCTCTCTGTCAAATAAATAAATAAAATCTTAAAAAAAAAAAAAAAGAGTCGGACACTAAACCGCCTGAGCCACACAGGCGCCCCACCACTTTAGAATTTATATGCAGAACCATAGATAGTACAATCTGATTTCCAAAGCAGAGACAAGGACCCTACATTCACCCCTCCATCTCTCTCCCCAAATTAATATCCACTAGGTTCGCCCCCAACCTTCCTTCTAGTACTCCTCGGCAGAACGAAACTTGGCCTGGGAAAAAGGAAAGGGGTAGATTCAGGCCTCTGGGGACTATCCACCCAGCAGGGTTCTGAAGAGGAAAGGGGCTAAGTGCTTGGGGTTCCAGCTGAACTTACTCATCTGAAACCTCAATAGACGACTTCTTATAGCCAGACTTGCTCATCTTCTGCAGCCCCTCAGACTTCCTCACCATCCTCACCAGCAGCAGAACCACCACCACGGCTGAGGGCAGGAAGACAAGGACGGAGAGGAGCGCCACCGAGGAGAACATGGTGCCAAAACCTAGAGGAGGAAAAAGGGAAGGTGAGAGGGAGGGACGTGCAAAAGGGCCTTCTTTGGCTGAGCTAGATTGTACTTTTGCTCTTGTATTTCTTCTGATTACAACAAGAATTCGTTGTAGAAGAGGCAGAGAGTACATGAAAGTACAAAGAACAAAAATGCACCCGTAATCCCCCTACATAGGACTGACACGTTGGTATCTACCCATTCGGTGTTCTTTCTAGGAGTATGTGGGTATGGGTCTGCAGATAGGGAGGACAGTGCCTAGCTTTAGAAGTATGGATCGGGGAGCCTGGGTGGCTCAGTCGGTTAAGCGACTGCCTTGAACTCAGGTCATGATCCTGGAGTCCCGGGATCGAGTCCCACATCGGGCTCCCTGCTCAGCAGGGAGTCTGCTTCTCCCTCTGACCCTTCCCTCTCTCATGTGCTCTCTCTCTCATTCTCGCTCTCTCAAATAAATAAATAAAATCTTTAAAAAAAAAGAAGTATGGATCATATGTTTATGGACTATTTCTAAGTTCCTTTTTTTATGTAATATATGATAAATTTTTCCCACATCATTAAAAACTCCTTCCAAGTGTTACTTGGCTGCACAGTATTCTACCATACTGAGTAATTTACTGAACCAATTTTGTAACGCTGGACACTCAAGCTGTTTCCAATTCCTTGAATCTGTAAGTTACATTATGATGATCATCCTTGTACATAAATCCTCATATTTAGCTCTATTTCTTTAAGATAAAATTTAAAATGGGATTCCTGGATCAAAGGGCATACACTTTTAAGGCATCTAATACGACCAAACTTTCTTCCAAAAAAACTATACTACTTTCTACTCAGCCTGCAGCATGAACATGCCTGTATCTTTGAAACCTTGAGTTATCCTCTTTAAAAAAGAAGAAAAAAGAACTGGAGGAGGAAGGGAAAGAAAGGGAGAAAGAAAGAGGGAGAAAAAGACAAACTTGAGAAAGACCTAGGAGATGATAAGGCATCTATAACGAACCATAATGCAGTTCTGTATCTCTACATCTTTGGTTCAAATCCAACTGAGAATTAGATTGACCGAGAATAATGTAGGAAAAAAGGTCAGTCCTTAACCTACTTTCCTGCACTTTCATTCTAAAAGGAAACTGCTGCCTTTTGTAACATAAAAGAAATGTGCTGCCTCCCATCATTAAAAGGGGCACCCTTTCAACACACGGGCAAGAAAATGGCCTCATAACTGAGGGTATGAACAGACTGAGGAAATCAAATGACTTCTATTTCACACAGATAACAAGGCTCCATTTACTTAGGGGTCTGCCATGCGTTCCACAAGACCTCTGGACACCTGAAGTTAAAATAAAAAATAGATAACAGGGAAACTATAACAACATTTGAATAACAACTTCAGTTTGCAAAATCAAGATTAAGAAATTCATCCTAATAGTCAATTCAGGATGGCCAAATGTTCCATTGACTGACTGGCTTTCAAAGACAAGTAGCTGTGCTTGTCCCTGATCTCTCTGGTAAGTAGCACGGTAGTCACAGAGCCCGGCAGAAGAAGGTTGGTGGCAGTTGGCTTACCCCTTTCTGTAACTGTTAGCTCCGTCACAGGAATATTATGGTGCACATCTGGGGGATTCTTCACAGCACAGCTGAATGTCCCATTGTCCTTTAGGGTAGGGCTGCTTATGCTTATAGACGCATCCCCTTTGTATACATCTCCAACCCAGGAAATTCGATCCTGAAATGTACCTGCTGTGGTTGGGTACTGGAAGGACTGATAATGAAAAATCTAAAAAAGCAACACCATAACAAACAAACAAAAAAAGAAGTTAATTTGCAAAATGCAATGAAAATGTGAAACTAAGTAAGTCCAAAATAAAATACAAATGCATAATGGGTTTTCTCAGTCAGACTTTTTTTTTTTTTTTTTATGTTTTGTTCACCTCCTTCCTATAGGTTAAAAGACAAGTTAATACAACTTATCAGGAAAAGGCCTGACCTAAGAGCCCTAGGATCCTAACTCCTGAAGATCTTCTAAATTCTCCCTGAAGTCCTAAAGCAGTAGTTCTCAACTGGGGGAAATGTGGGCCTCCAGGAGACATCTGGCAATATCTGGAGACAGTTCTGGTTATCACAGTTTGGGGAGAGTGCTACTGGCATCTAGTGGGTAGAGGTCAGGGATACTGATAAAAATCCTACAGTGCAAAGATAGACCCCTCACAACAAAGAATTCTCCAGCTCAAAATGTCAACAGTGCCAAAGCTAAGAAACCCTATTCTAAAGTAGCATCTGTTATTTGTGTAGTCCTTTCTGGTTTGCAAATGATTCCCACAGGTTTACTCAGTTGAGCCACATAACAACACCGAACGATACATGGGGCAGGTATGATTATTCCAAATTTATAGAAAGGGAAACAAGGCCAAAAACTAAGTGAGTTACTCAAAGGCACACAGGTAGTAAGTGGGCAGGGGAAGCTTTTGCTTAATCTCAAAATGAGTAAAAGTAGGTATAATATAATCAAGCCTCTCTTGAGTTATCTATCTATCTTGGCTATCAATAAAAACCCCAAGCCAAATGCATGATCAGGACTCAGTGAATGAAATTGAATTAAAACGGTGCTACTTCAGATTGATGATCAGACACTTTGTCACCAAAAGCACCTCATTATGTCTGGTGGTAGGCCAGGCAGGTACTACAAGACAACATGATCTTTCTCTCTTATGCAGGGTTCAAGGCTTTCTTTCCTCTTTCCTCTTTCTTTCCTTTCTTTCTTTCAAGACTTGGTACCTCCCCATTTACAACCACTAAATTGCCCAATTTTGAGGAGCAACTTCCCAGAGAAGATGTTGAATTACTTATCAGTTCATTTGTTCATGCATTCATTCAACAAATATTTAGGGCTCACCTACTATGTGCTAGGCACTGTGTTAAGCAAAAGGACATAGTGGGAGCCAAACAGGCACAGTCCCTGCTCTCACAGATTTTACAGTCTAATGGGAAATACAGACATTAAGAAATAATAACATGTGTGATGAGTGTTCCAAAGAGAGAGGTAAGGGGCGCCTGCCTGGCTCTGTCAGAGGAGCAGCAACTCTTGATCTCAGGATTGTGAGTTCAAGCCCCACGCCGGGTGTAGAGACTACTTAAAAATAAAATCTTTTAAACACACACACACACACACACACACACACACACACACACACACACACACA